TTTTTTTGGACATACTAGATTTTTATTGCTGCATAACACATTACCAAAAACTTTGAAACTCAACATAACACTTCTATTATTTCAATTTCTGTAGGTCAAAAGTCGAGTTCATCTTAGCTGTGTCCTGTGCTCAGGGTTGGCCAAGGCTGTGGGCTCATCAGATGCTGAACCGGGGAAGGGAAAGGTCTGCTTCCAAGCTCCTTCCTGTTGTTGGCTGAATTCATATCCTTGTAGTTGGAGGACTGAGGGTCTGCTCTGTTGTGGATGTCAGCTGGGGGCTCCTCTCAGCTGGCAAATACAGGTCCCCTGCAGGTCCTTGCCACTGGCCCCTCCAGAGACCTCTCATGATGAGGCAACTCGCTTCTTCAAGGCAGCAATGGAAAGACAGTCTTTCTGGTGAATGCGAGCAAGACAGAGCTATAATGAATAATGTAATGATGAGAGTCACTCCCATCACTGCTGCCATTTTATTTTGGTTAGAAACAAGTTATTGGTCCCAACCACACTCAAAGGAAGGGATTATACAGTCATGAAAATGTGACCAGGGTCTGGTCTGTCTACTGCATAAATCTCATTTTGAAGAACATCATGAGCCCTAAGGATCACCTGCAGCCTCACCAACGCTGTACCCATCACCTGCAGCCTCACCAACGCTATACCCGTGAGTTACCTGTAGCCTCACCAATGCTGTGCCCGAGTCACCTGCAGCCTCACGTCCCCAACGCTATGCCTGCGAATCAAGGGCTCCACTGTGACATACCCTTTTATTTGTCCTCTTTTCTTGTCCTTTTTATTTTTGTTTTATTTCAGCATAAATTAGTGAATTTTTATCATGCATTTTGTCCTTTTATTGACTTTCTGACTGCATTTTTTTCAGTGTTTCCTCTTGCCATTTTTATTTTTATGGTCTACTGATATAATATTGTATGACTTCATCTACAGTAAAATTACCTCATGTTACTGTAAATCTACTTGTCTTCCCTGCTATCTGCAAGTGTTGCCTCACATTTAAATTGTTATAAAACACATTATCTTTTCTACTTTTGTTTGAAATAACCAATTAATTTTGAAGAATTTAACCAAAGAAGGAAAATAATTGTTTTTATTTATTTTCATATATACTTTCTCTAGTATTCTTCATTATCTTATGACACTGTTTTTCACCTGGTGTAATTTCTCTTCAGCCTGAAGAATCTTCAGCATTTTTTGAAGTATGGATCTGCTGGAAAACAAACTCATCCAGCTTTAATTCAGCTTAAAATGTTTTTATTTGCCCTTCATCTTTGAAAGATAATTTTTTTAAGTTTGTCAGTTGAAAATCTTTTTGTTTTTGGTGACATTTTCTTCTGGATTGCATTACTTTTGTGGCAAAGCATCATTAGTCTGTTGTATCATTGTTCCCCAGTGGGTAACAAATCGCCTTCTTATCAGGCTGCTCCTGGGTCCAGCTTATCTTCAGCTTTCAGCCTCTGGCTCTGAGGGCTTGCTGTGCTTCCAGGAGCTGAGATTCACTGTTTCTGATCAAGTTAGGTTATTTTCTACGTCTATTTCAGCCATTTTGATTTGTTATCCTTTTCTTCTGGGGCTCACGCTGCCCGTGTGTTCCAGCTTTCGATTCTGCTCCTTGCACAGCTGACATGGCGTTGCTCTTTATCTTTTTTTCATTTTTTTCCTCTGTGTTATGCTTGAATTAGAATGTTTACTGACATCCTTTGGTTTTTAACCAATCCAACTGCATGCATGTTAGACATTTTATTAGGTCCAGTATCCCTTTCATATCAGGGTTGCATTTTTTGGCTCTCTGTTCTTCAGCTTAAATATTTTCTAATGACATAAGTTTTAGTGCACTGATTCTCCTTTACTCTGCTCACTCCGGTGTTTACATCCTGTGAGCTCTTCATTACAGCGACTGTCTCCTCAATTCTAGAATTTTTATTTGCTTCTTTTATATGGATTCCATCATTGTGGTAAAATTATCCATGGTGTTATCCTATTTCGTGTACGTATAAAGCTGCATTTAAATGACCAATGTTAATGCCAATAACTGGGCCATATGTTACATCCAAAGTGGAGATTTCAGTTACCTGGAGGCTGGCGTGTGACTTGTAGGAAGCTCTGACTATCCTGCTCCTCCCGCCAGGCACAAGGCTTCCAGGGTCTCCTGAAGGAGCTTAGGAGATCCCTGGGGCTCCTCACTCTTCAGAAATCCTGGTCTCAATTCTACCTCCAGCACTGCCCAGAAGCCAGCCTGATTTACAGCTCTGTTCTCTTTGGTTTCTTAGCTTCTTGACTCACAGAGCTTACACATTTTTTAAATGCCTCAGTAGAAAGACAACACTGATAAGACCATCACTTTTCTGAGTTGTATTGTCTCAAGGTCTTAAAGCATGAGACCTGCCTTCCTTGCAAATGCACGGCTTTTCTCCCCGATTTCATCTAAATGTTTTAGTTGTCTTGGCAAAGTCTGGTGTTCCTGCAGACATTCCACAGTCAGTGGGATGGGAATTTCCTGGGTTCATGTGGAGAAAGGAGGACTTGACAAGGGGAATCTAAGCCCAGAGGTAGGAGGTGATGATGAGTTCAGCTTTAACACATCTTGGTGGCATCCCAGTGAATATAACATTCAGAGTCACACGTGGAACCCAGACACCGTCTTTACTGTAATAATCTCAGGTGCTTTTTTCTCTTGTAATTTGAATGATTTTATTATCTTTATTATGTAAAATAATCTAGATTTTTGTTCAAAGCGTGTGACCATTTTATAGGCTCCCATCGTCATTTCTAATTAAAAGAATATTTTAACCTATTATGTGAACTATATTGATGAGTAAATTCTCAAACACCAAATGCAATGAGATTAAAAATTAAACATTTATACATATGGTTTCTTGAAATAAATAATGTACACATTTGGCTTTTTATGTTTAAAGAATGTTCATTTCTAATGTGGATTTCCAAACTTTTGTTTATCATGTTATTAGGATTAAATTATTATAACTGGAAGTATCCGATCATTCATTTCAACCCTCTTTGAAGCATGTCATGGCTCAGTAATGTCTCTGTCAAAGAGTTGGCTGGAGGAGAGAAGAAATACCAATTTTCTATTTCAAGTATTGACTTCAAGGCTAAATCACTGATTCAGCTCAGGCAGGTGGTGTTTAGATCTTGAACAAAAGGGATTCTTCATGCCCAAAGCTGGGACTGTCTTTATCAGCCTGCTCTCAATTTTCCTATGGCAATATGGCCCAAAATTTGGACCTCAAACCTTGATGCATGCGTTAATTTTCCTGTTCTAATTAAACATAACCTTTAATTATGTGAGTCAAGGTCTCATTTTTGTCTATTGTTTTAATTCTTTGGTTGAAGTCAATTACTGGGATCTGTCCTAGAATTAGTGGATGTCATAGATTGCAAGAGCCTAGAGGAAACTTAGGAATGATTGACTGCCTCCTTTTCAGGCGGAAAAACTGAACTTTAGAGAAGTGTGTGACCTTCCCGTGGCCAAGACAGAGCAGAAACCTGGCCTCTGGGATACGCATGGCAAGAAGGAGGGTGCAGTCAGCCGCAGACTTGGCCCAGGTGTGTGGGCTGCACCCTGCCTGCCTGTCCATGTCATTCTCGGTTTGCTGTCAAGCGGGCAGGCACCAAGGACAGGAGATACGTGCCCAGCCTAGGGCTTACAGGAAGCTGGGCCAGCCAGACGGCTGCTCCAGGGTGGCTGGATTGGAGAACTGGACTCAGATGTCCACACACGTAATTAAGAGCCCCCTTGAGGTACAGTAGGAGAGTAGAAAGCAAAGAAGAGAAGGACAAGGCCATGAGGCCAGGACATGGAGCCTCCCGTTGCCATTGCCAAAAGACAAAATTACAACAAGTTCAGGTCAAAGATCTTGATTAGTATTGAGAATGCACATTCCACTGAGCCAAGTGAAGGAGGCTGTGATTTTATAGACAGAAGAGGAGGTGGGAAACACAACATAGGGGGTAAAAGAGACAAGCAGTAGAGCAGACGACCGTCTCCAGTGAAAGACCCCGGTGGGTCTGGTCACTTTTCCTGTAAAAAGGTTGAAGCAGAGCAACCTCCTTACCATGCCAGCTAGGACCAGCCTGTTTGGAGATTCGGCTTCTGTGGGCTTTCTCCTGATGTCTCTGGCAGTCACATAAAGATCCTGGCTCCTCCTCAGTGGTGTGAGACCTCCGGTCTGGTCTGGTTGGCTGGACCCTGTGCAGCAGCTGGGTCCAAACTGCCGCCTCCTACAGAGTTCCCTTAGCTCCATATCAAAGGGCAGAGATGCCAGGGCCCTGGGGATTCTCCACCCGAGGTTGACCTTCCCTGCATAAGGAAGGGATATTGGGCAAGGCAGGAGGATTATTTGACAGATTGTTGGTGCAGACGAGGACGTTCACAGAGGCAGATACATGGCATTCGACCTTGTGTCTGTGCTCCTGTCCCGTACACAAACGCAGCCAGAACTCCTCCCAGACATTGCCACACCTGTAAGTAGTCAGACTGTGCGCTGCTCCACCTTGAAGCATTGTTGTCCAAACTGAAATGTGGCTTTTCTTGTTATTGTAATATTAGCCCAAGGACGAAGCCCTACCGTGGAAGGAACCCAGGGAAGGACCTGTGCACCACACACCCTCTGCCACAGGAGAAATGTCTGCTGGGTGTGCTGCAGACTTAAGAGGGATGACACAGTTTTGTGGGGACGAAAACCTCATTTTTCATAAACACACACACACATACACACGATGCACATCCGTGCACACACATAAGCAGAAAACACACAAATGTACACATGTGCACACACCTACATGATGCACACATGCACACGTGATGCATTCATGCATGCACACACACAAGACACACACATAAATGACACACAACATGCATTCATGCATACACACATGAAAGACAAAAACATGCACACGGCACACACGTAAATGACACACACAACATGCACATTCATGCATACACATGCAAGACACACAGCACACACATAAATGACACACAACATGCACAATCATGCATACACACATATGAAAGACAAACACACACACACACCACAGAAATAAATGACACACATAACATGCACATTCATGCATACGCACACAAAAGACACACACATGGGCACACATGTAAATGACAAGATGCACATTCATGCATACACACATGAAAGACACACACATGCATACTTTCATGACACATGCACTCACGATGCACATTCATGCATACACACACGTGCAAGACACCAAGACACACACACGTCACACATAAACGACACACACGCACATTCATGCATAGACAGGACACACATGCATACCATGCATGACACACATGCGCACGTGATGCACATCCATACATACAGATGAAACACACATGCACACACGTACACATAAGATGTGATCCATGCATGGACACACACTAATGCATGCACGGACACACATGTGTATAGCTGTACAATCCCCTTTGATTTCTCACCATTAAAAATAACCCCATCATGTTTTAACAGATTTTAAATCCATTCAAAGGGCTGTCAGTGGAAGACGTCTGATGACCCAGGTCCAGAGGCCCTAGGGATTCTGGAGAGCAGAGACCTGGATGCCTCTCTCCTGCCACATGAGCCCTGAGATTCCAGAGTGGGCCAGGGGACCAAGAGGATGTGTGCTCAGAGGATGCTAAAAGGCCAACGAATGATCTCTCTCCATCCTCACCTCTCCCCACATGTGTGATCTCTCTCCACCCTCACCTCCCCCCACATGTGTGATCTCTCTTCACCCTCACCTCCCTCCACATGCTTAATCTCTCTCCACCCTCACCTCCCCCCAATGTGTGATCTCTCTCCACCCTCACCACCCCCACATGTGTGATCTCTCTCCATCCTCACCTCCCCACCATGCGTGATCTCTCTCTATCCTCACCTCCCCACTATGCGTGATCTCTCTCCATCCTCACCTCCCCCCACATGTGTGATCTCTCTCCATCCTCACCTCCTCCCACAAGTAGGATCTCTCTCCATCTGCACCTCTCACCCCACCCAGGCCACATCCACCTGGGTGGTAGCCATTCCTCTTGGGCATCACCCCTTATGGTCCCGTCTCCACAGAGCAGCCAGACACTCTTTCTTCAAGACCTAAATCAGACACCATGCCTTAATTAAAACATTTAGTGGCTTCCCACTGGACTTAGGATCCTTCTCCCCAATTATAAAGCCCCAAGATCTGGCCCCGTCTGCATCCCGGCCTCCCCCAGCTCTGCCTCCCTGGTTTCATATCATGATCCTCTTCTTTGTCGTTTTTTTGGTACTAAAACAAAAACAAATACTCCACCTACATGAAGAATGCTTTCTGAGAAGATAAACAGTCAACAAAATTTACCTGAACTAACTAAGAAAAGACTCAAACAAATAAAATGGGAAATGAAGGAGGCGACCTCACAGCCAACATCACAGAAGTAGGAAGGGTCACACGAGCAGTGTGAACAATGACAACGACAGCAACCTGGACAGCCCCGAAGAAATGGATGGATCCCTCGACACACACGACCTGGCAAGACAGAATTATGAGCAACAGAAAATACGAAGAGAACAAAATAGTGCAAAGATTGAATTCGTAATTAAAAAAAAAAAAAAAAAAAAAAAAAAAAAAAAAAAAAAAAAAAAAAAAAAAAAAAAAAAAAAAAAAAAAAAAAAAAAAAAAAAAACTTGCCATCAAAGAAAAGCCAGGGAAGGGCCTAATGGCTTTAGTGATAAATCCCACAGACGTTTAAATAAGTGACATCCATCTCCTCAAATGCTTTCACAAAACTGAAGGAGAGAGGATACTTCCTAACTCATCTTATGAGGCCAGAATTATGCTGATACCAAAGCCAGCTGAGGCCCCTACGAGAAGACACACTCTGCCCGGGATCCTGAATCGACCACTCCATCCACCGGAGCACTCACAGGCATTCCTGAGAGGCCGCTCCTGTGGTGCCAGCTGTCTGTCCCTGTCCACCCGATGGCTCAGACGAGCCCCACGACTGAACCTGCAGTGGCTGCCAATCACCCCCATGCTTCTCTGCCATAATGTCTGCCTCAGCCCGCCAGGTCCTTATGTTTCTGTTGTCAGTGGCCTTGTCCTCACCAGGTGTCCCCTTCATCTACGCGGAAGTCCCTGAGATGAGGGACACAGCCGGGGTTCTCACTGCTGCAGGCCCTGCACTCAGAAGAGTACTGGACATACAGTAGGTGCACAATTAATGCCAAATGAATAAGCACGTGGTGCACAATGAGCCTTCAGATATGGGAACGACAGAACAGGCCGTTCTGAGGCTCATTCCAGGCCCTGCTGGGGTGTCCTATGCATCATGGAGGAGCTTATCCAAGAGCCATGGAGATGTCCGTGTGCCATGCTCTGATGTTGGGCTCTGTGCTTGAGGAGATGAGGCTTGCAGAGGGGAAGTTGCATCCGGCTGGGGGCCTGGAGCAGGAACTTCTTGAACCCGTTGCTGTCAGAGTTCCTGCCTTTCCCTCATTCATAGCTGCCTCCTTCACTGAACACCTCATTAATTCCCAACTCTTTGAAACGGCTGCCTCCAGGCACCTCGCTTCTTAGTGTGGAATCGTCCTTTGAATGTGACTATCATTACAAAAAGCAAAACTCCAGTGGCTTTTGAAGACTCCTGTTAGAAACTCTCCTTTGCAGAAAGCAGACCTTGAGACGGAGGAGTCAGAGGCTCTTTGTGGCTGCTGTTTGGCCCTCAGTGGGGGAAGGGGAGCTGTAAAACTGTCACGGGCCCACGGAGGCCTTCCCTGGCTACTTGCCCTGAACTATGTGGACTATGACAGAGGCCATGGAAGCAAGTCCACAGGCACCACCAGCCGAGTAGGGAGGGACGGTCATCCCTCTGTTGAGCCGGCACAGGCCAGTCTCATGGTCTCAGAGACTCATGGCAACCTGTACCTTAGAAATGCGTCCTCTCCACAATAGTCTGATGACGACTAATGGCTGCAGATACATTAGTTTAATGTATGTATTCCTTATTGTCACATCTCTGCACGTAGTCTTCAATGCCATGCTCAATATTCCAAGTGAAGTACTCACGGCACGTTTCCCGCTAAAATCTTCACATGGGAGGTGCCTGTGTCAGTCATACAGCGCATGCGGTTGGGTTGGTCATATGGCTTCCGGGTCCCTAACACAGCTGTGGCCATTCCTGTCTCTTCTTCATGAAGTCATCAGAATGGCTGAAAGCTTAGAGCAAGCACAGAACCTCTTGTGGCCTCCGAACACAAACAGGGAACAGCTGTGAGGATGTAGAAAGGGAAGGGGTAGAGCAGGTGTCTAGAGCATCTGGCCATCTGGCGTGCCACAGTGGAGAGCCGCAAGCCTGGCAAAGATGAAGGATGGACATGGAGCGTCTCCCGCTTCTACACCAAGCAGTTCAGATTCCGTATTTCATTTTGCCCTCTCGACCACTCTGACTGGAAAATGGTATCCTCATTGTACCACAAGACTCACTGAGGCTTTGGGATCCCAGTCACAGTTTCAAGGGAGGAAAGGACGAAGCCTGGGCTGGAGTCTAAGGCTGTGTGCGCCCTCGGCTCACTGCCTTTACAGCGCCAGGTTCTAGTTCAGTGGGAATGAGAAGCAGCCCTCTCCTGTACTGTCAGGGAAAGCATTCATCGCCACACACCATATAAACACGCCAGCCACACCTCTAAAACACAGAGAAAATATTAGAAAAGACAGATGCGTTTGCTTTGAAAATCATGTCAATTTGTATGTTCAGCTAATAACTGGCCTCAGCCACCTGATGCCCATGTTTTCTCTTTTGTTATGGAAAAGGCTGACTTCAGCTTGTTCACCAGTCACAGAATTGTGAAGAGGGCTCCTTGCAATCCTCACTCAAAGCTGGCATCACACGGGGAGGGAGGGTGGCCCTGTGACGTGACGGCTCCAGAGCAGATGCTGGGTGGACCCACAGAGGGAGTGTGGTGACGGGGTGCAGGTGCCCATGCGTGGCTGTGGCTCAGTGGCCTGCAGGCTGGGCTTGTCCCTTCAATAGGGGATGGGGCCTTCCCCAGTCTTACCACCCACACTCGCTGCAGAGCACTCCCTGGTACAGGCACCTGGAGACAAACCAGCGAGGCCAGGTGGGCTGGGAACAAACCCAGCTTCACATCCTCCCAGTGGCTTCCTGGGAACACTCGGACCCCAGCTTCCATCCTGGGCGCCGCCCCCGTGCCTGCCCAGCCTCTCCAGTATTGATTAGATCAAAGTAGTGCTTTGTGCCGGGCAACGGGGCTTCCAAAACATCCTGAAAATTTATTTCTAGGCGAAGGTGATTGTGAACATTGCATTATCTGGTTCTTTATTTAACCAAGAGTTTCCTTTCAAGTCTTTGACGAGTTTTGTCATCTTTCACGTTTCTATCATCCCCTGGCTATCCACATCCTCTGCCTCTCATTTATGTTCAGCAAAGCATCTCTTCTTATTCTAAATTGTGACCTCTCCTGTTTACTCACTCACTGCTCTCCTCAGCCACAGAACATAAACTCAGGCCTTCAGCCCTTGCCTGCCCTTCCCCATCTAGCTCCATGCTAATGGCTGGCATGCAGAAGCTGCACAGTAAATCTTCGTTGAATTATTAATTGATTAGTAGTTGCTTGGAAGCTATAACATAATTTCCCAGGGAATTAGTATTGTGATTCTATCCCTACAAGTTCACAAGAGACTATTAAATTTATAATATAACAAATACAGAATAAGCATGGTGAATATAACTTTGAATAATTTTTTCCTTTAATCAGAATGAAAATCTAATAAGCTTTTGCAGGACAGCTTGCCTCACTCTGGGTCAGAACTGAGCATATTAATTCATAAAACCCTCTTTTCCAGAGTTCCGGTGGGAGTCCACTGCCTCTGGAAATGCGGTGGTGAGCAGGCTTTCAAAACTGTGGCTCCTTCTACTAGGGATGCCCAGGCCATCAAACTTCAGATGACCCCCTAAGGGATGCTGCTCTCTCAAGATTCAAGAGCCACCCTTCTACAGAGGACCCTTAGACTGCCCATCAGTGTAACACCACAGAGTTGGAATCTTGCTCTGTCTCCGTTAGACCTGGCTGGACACAGCTTTCACCAATCCAAAGAGTCACCCTCCTTCCCTGACAGAAGCAAGAGGCTATGACCCACAGAACCGCCACCACTGCCCCTTTGTCAGCAAGAAGCAGTTACAGAAGACTGACCTTCATCCATTTTCCCCAAAAACTGGGGTCTTGGATTCTTGAGCGGGGAAATGCTATAGCAGGAAGTCAGGCAGACGTGAGAGCCCCCTGGTCAGGAAGTTCAGGCAACTATCGGGTGATGGGCAGGAGGTTGTTAACCGCTCTCTAAAATCACAGGTCACAGCTGGCACCAGGGAATAGTTTCCCAATGGAGAGAAAACACCTGAAACTGGATCAGCAGCTTCCTGATAAGATCTCAGGAGCTGGGGGAGTGGGCTCAAGCATGCGCACTAAGAGGCGAAATGGGGAGTTTCGCTGGTCCAGGACCTTCCAGGAATACTCAGCTGGTGTGGGAAGAAGGCCTCCAGCAAGCAGGCATGCAGCTTCAGTAAACTTACTGTGTATGTGGCCCCTCCCAAGGGCTGGCAGGCCACTGTATGTGCGGACAGCCCATCCCACGGGAAGAATCAAGGGAGAAGAGACACAAGCCGCTAAAAGCATGCCAGTGGATATAAGCCCACGTCAAAGGTCAAACCACACATTTAACTCGCTCAAGCTGCCCACTTGGCTCTCTTCCAAGTGGACTTTCTTTTGTTCCTGCTCTAGGCTTTTTAATACACTTTCTCTCCTCCACTAAAACCTGCCCCAGTCTCCGCTTCTGCCTATGCGCCTCAGTCAGTCTTTCTTCTGAGGGGTCAAGAACTGAGGTTACCGCAGACCCATACAGATTTGTCAGGGCTAACCCCGACAGGGCTTGTCCAGCTCAGGAAAGCAATGCTTCCCTTTCAGCTGACTCTGTGTTGTTGAGGAAAACATATTTTTATCTCCAAGATTCAGGCTTAAAAATAATTCTTCATAAGGATACATTCTGATGCTTTGGTTTTCCCCTTGAAATCTACCTGTAAAGGATCATCCAGAATTGAACCTTCAGGGCCAAAGCCTCCAGGCAAGATTCAGTCTTTCCTCCCGCTTCCAGCTCTGCATGGTGCAAATGTGGTGGAGTCTCACCCCAACTCCTGTCGTAAACCAAAAAGTATTGCCGATGGGTCTCAATCAATTTAGAAGTTTTTTTTGCCAGTGTTCAGCACACGCTCAGGAGAAAAATAACACAGAATCACAAAAACAGTCCATGGTGTGTACCTTTCTCCAAAGATGATGCTGAAGGTGTCGATATTTGAAGGGGAAAGTGGGGCTAGAGGGGAAAGAGGGAGGGTGTGTTCATCCACATTTGGCAAGAGGAAAGGACAGGCAGCAGAACCGTCAACCATGCATTCATCTCCTGCTCCGCAACTCTGCTCTTCCCATGGGACAGGTGGACATAGAGCAGCCTGTGGAGACGTGCTGCCTTCTATCTGTCACTCTCTGCTTAGGAGCAAAAGGAAAGGTGGCTGCTTGCAGGGCTCAGCTTCCAGCTTCATTCCTTCCTCAGCAGAGTCGATGCGGGTCCTGGGCTTTTATTTTCCTTTCAGGATGCCGTAGCCGGAGTGAACACAACATCAAATGTATTTTCCTTCTACATAGAGAAAAGGAAAATATACTTTACTACCAAGTTTTTGTCCATTTTTATTTGCAATATTTGAAATGGGTAAACTTTGATGACTTCCTTTGAGGTCGCTTTACCCACAAATGCCTCCAACCTGACGTGGACTCCGTTCTTCACCAGCTGCAGACAGGCGCCTCCTCACCTCGTCCTGCCGTTGCCCAGTTCTCGGCTGCTGAGCCCAGGTTAGCAAGACCCCCCAGCTGCACCCACATCCCGGACTCTTCAGCGTCTCTGGCTGTTTGTCCCCGGAGGTACTTGCTGTGCTCAGCTGAGCCCACACCTGCACTTTTGTCTCGCAGCCCTGAGCCAGTAGCTGGAATGAACTCTGTCTTGCTGTTTTTAACAAGCCTCTGCTACAAATCACAACAGGCCCCTTTAGGGTCTGGCATTTGAAGAGGGTAATTCCTTTTCTATTAAAAAAAATTCTTAAAGACCTTATATAACTGAGAAAAAAACTTGCAAATCATCCCTCAACAGCAACAAGAAAACAGCAACTTAAAGATTGGGATGGAGTTAACAGGGTTTCATCACAATGAAAGTACCAGGCTGAGCACCTGCTGAGAAGGTTGAATAACTTAAGGAGCCCTTTGCCCTGGCTCCCAAGGTACTCACATCTGCAGAGCCCCATCTTCTTTTCCTGCTGTTTTCATTCTTTCAGGGCCCTTTCCACCATCCCCGGGCTGCCCTACTGAAGCCCCTGCCCTCTGGCCCACAGCAAGCTCTCCAGCCCTGCCTCAGTCTCCCCACCTGACCTCCCCACATGCTGGCCTGCGCCATTCCTGGGTCGGCGGTTTTCTTTCTTTGGTGTGGACACACAAGGTGGTCCCTGCTCCTGCCCAGAGTTTGTTTCCTCAGCACAGCCCGGGTGTCCACTTTCCCACTCTGACCACACCCCTCCTCTCCACTCGGAAGCCCCAGCCTCCACCCTGGCCCTCTGGGCTCCACTGTCCCGACAGCCTGCCGGCCCCACCCTCACAACCCCTGCTGAGGCCTTCCCACGCCGTTCTCTGCACAGCAGGCTTCTCCCTCCTGTGGGACTCCCCCACACATCCTGCCCACCCACATCACACTGAGTTGCTGATGCTCTGATGGGCACCCCCATCATCTGCTTGGGCCTGTGAGATTGGAGGCTCATCTGGCTTCCACACCAACCCCCAGGATCAAACCCGGGGCTTCACGTGTGGGCCCATTCAACATGTTTCCAAACACCTGCATGAATTCTAATTCGATGTTTTTATGCCTAGCACTGCAGACGTCTGAGCCCTCATAAAGTCCTTTCACTTGACCTTAATTACACAAATGGATGTGATTCTACAGGGGAATAAAAATAAATTAGCGTATCACAGATGGGATGTTTACTTTTAGTGGAAACTTAGCAAAATCCTTCTGTAGAATGACTTTCCCATTCACAAGCGTCTTTTTAGATCAGCAGCCAACACTGAATAGGAGCCAACAGGAACTTCTCACAAACCAAGCTCCTCCTTGACCACCGCCCTCTCTAGCACCTTGCAGAGGGTGAGTTTGTTCTGACCCTCATTGCCAGAATCTCTGACTCAGTGAACATGGAAATTCATTAAAATTAAACTTAAAACATCTGTAACAATCCAAGCTGGGCTATGGGTCTCCCTGTGCTCACGGGCCGGGCTGCGGGTCTCCCTGTGCTCACTGGCCCAGCTGCGGGTCTCCCTGGCCTTACTGCTCTTCCCCAAACCACACACAGCAAGTCCCCTCAGCCCCCAGTAGCTTCCTGACCCTATGAAACATTTAGAGTTGCAAAAGAACTGCTTAGAAACCTAAAAGGCAGTAAGTTAAGTGAACCTTCCTTCATTGGCTGGAATCTCGGACCCTGTTTCTAATTCTGTTCTCTTGCCCCTGCCATAGTAAAAACAACTCCTGGAGTCATCTGAGAATGACAAATTCTCATACACGAGACAGCATAGTGAGTGTCTGTGCAGGAAGAGCCAGGATCATCCAGGAATTCTTTCATGAAGGAGTGTGTTAGGTCAATTTCCTTAAAAGGAAGTGTACAAATTTATTGCAATAAAAATTAATACCTGTGAATTATTTCACAGTAAAATATTTTTGGTTTATCCATTACGTGTGATGGTCCAGTGAAGTTCTTTTCATTGACATAAAACAATTATGTTATTAAACGGACACACCCATCCAGAAGGGAGGGAATTCTCCTTAGAAGCTTTCCAAGCATGGTTATGGGCAGAGGGAAGAAGGCAAATTTGGAACCTAAATTTGGAGGCTATTTTGGTTCAGTGATTTAATCTTGGTGCATTCTTTATAGAAATTGCAATGCCAGGTGTCTATGAAAAGTCAGGGTGCATATGAGAAAGGAACACCAGTCTCTACGCCCACTGCTTCTCTTCCAGGAAAATAACAAATAAATGTCTAGAAAACAATATTTCTATTGGTGGATAAAAGTGTTAGGTCACATCAGTAATAAAGCAGCGCCCTAGGATGTGAGGGAGCCTCTTCAGCCTGTGTTATCTCTACTTAGAAAACTGCATTGCAAGAGGCTCTGAAGTGAGCTATAAGGTAACACTTGTCTGTAAGATTTCTAATGTTCTACAAACTCTGTCACCCAGAAAGCACAGCTGTTCCTTCCCAAAGGCCAACCAGAAGATGCAGCCTTGTGTGGGGAGCACGTTGTGGGGAAAAGAGGATAAGGGTCCCCCTCTTCTCTCCACAATGACGCTCTGCACACCAATCTGTGATGTGATAGGAGCCTCAGGCTCCCCCAGAGAGCTACGTGGCCACATTGTCAACTTCTGATACCTTAGAAAAGAAGGAGAATTCTTATTTCACACAAGGTCAGAACTGAGGGCTGATGTTTATATTCACAAGTAAGGGAAGAGGGATGTTCTAAATACATGCCTGTGTGTTTTGGGCCATACCTGCCACCCAAACAACAGCTACTTTATAAAACACACACAAGGCCGAGCATGGTGGCTCACACCTGTAATCCCAGCACTTTGGGAGGCCAAGGCGGGCGGATCACCTGAAGTCAGGAGTTCGAGACCAGCTTGACCAACATGGAGAAACCCTGTCTCTACTAAAAATACAAAATTAGCCGGGTATGGTGGTGTTCGTCTGTAATCCCAGCTACTCAGGAGGCTGAGGCAGAAGAATCTTTTGAACCCTTGAGGCAGAGGTTGCAGTGAGCAAGGATCGTGCCATTGCACTCTAGCCTGGGCAACAAAAGCAAAAAACTCTTTCTCAACACACACACACGCACACACACACACACAGAGAAGAGCTTGTAAATTACGAGACAACTGAAACAGATTTATGATACTTATTTACATATATTTGCGACTGTCACAGGCTTGTTTTTGCTGAAATGTTGGTAGAGCTGATGCTTCTAATGAGAGAAAAGTGTGTGAATATAATAAATTATTTGATAGCTATTGGCTCAAAACTTGTGCTTCGATAGAACAAGTCAGTGCTAATTCTATGTTCAGTTTTTTTGTTATTGGTTCTGTGACAGTTATGTTAAAGCACATATACAGTTTTAAATTGTGTAAGGCCCCATGAAAGCTGAAGCTGTGTGTGATGTACTTTCTAAACCAAGGTATTTATTTTTTAAGATCAACTACCAATTCCAGTTTTTGTTGAAATTTGATTTTGTTCCTATCTTTCCTTGAATCAGTCCATTTTTATGCAAATAAATCACATTTCAAATAATTTATATTTTTATGTCATATTTTAGCAAGTGAATTCAAAATATATCTAACAACTTTTTTGTGAAAAGACTCTAACTGGCTGTGAAACTTTGGTTTTAATGATTTATGAGGCAGATACAAAAGTTTTATCAAGGCCACATATGATTGTTTCTGGCAATAAAATTATTGGAACCTCAGAAACATTCATTTTTAATAAGCTATCTCCAAAGTGTAAACTTTAGAAAGGATTCATTCTCTTCACTATTTTTAGAATGTTGCTTTTATTCTGAGAGGTAGATTATTTATTTAAAAATACCTGATAACTTAAATATTAATTTTAACAACAACAAAAGTCTTGGTCATCTTTAGTTTCAATAATTTAATTATTTTGCCACAAAGTGGCTGTGAACCAATGTGAGATACAGAAGATTCTCATGGTAGATGCTTTATTATTGTAAAGGACTACAGGAGGCTATCACCCTTTAGAAGTCTTTTAAGAAATATAAAACATATTACCTCTATAATGCTATCATCTGCCACAAAATTTTTATGTGTTTCTTATATGTTTTTGCTACAATAGCTTGCCTATGAAAGATGCTGTATTTCAAGTTCATATGTGGTGAATATATATATATAGATATATATATATATATAGATATATATTCCAATCAAAACAGCCCATAGACCAAGGTCATTCTTACACAGTTCCCATAATGCATCATCTTTATTTAAAAAGTTATTTTCTATTGAGGATAGTTTTTTTTTTTTTTTTTTTTTTCAGCTAAGGCATTACCTCTTTGCTTCATAGGTTAATAAAAAGTAGTCTGTACACAATAAAAAATGGTGAAAGGGATATCACCACTGACCCCATAGAAATACAAACTACCATCAGATAATACTATAAACACCTCTACGCAAATAAACTAGAAAATCTAGAAGAAATGGATAAATTCTTGGACACATACACCCTCCCAAGACTAAATCAGGAAGAAGTCAAATCCCTGAATAGACCAATAACAAGTTCTGAAATTGAGGCAGTAATTAATAGCCTACCAACCAAAAAAATCCCAGGATCAGATGGATTCACAAGCGAATTCTACCAGAGACACAAAAGAGCAGCTGGTACCTTCCTTCTGAAACTATTCCAAACAATTGAAAAGGAGGGACTCCTCCCTAACCCATTTTATGAAGCCAATGAAACTAGCATCATCCTGATACCAAAACTGGGAAGTGACACAACAAAAAAAGAAAACTTCAGGCCAATATCCTTGATGAACATCGATGTGAAAATCCTCA